TCAAATTTGCATAGGTATGTGATTCATGTTGACCTGTACTATCTTTGCAAAGTCTTATTATGTATATCGATCAAGTAGTCAGTATATTTATTATGTTGTTACATTAAGTACGTACATTTATTTCTATACTGTGTATGTTGGTTTGTTTTCCATGTCTACATTGTGTAGTTTCCATCGTAATTATTAAAAGGTATGACTTTCATATACTATGATTAATTATTAATAATATTCTTATAATTTTTATTTTTATTAATTTGTTTTGTTAATACACACTTATAAATTACAAAGAGGTTTTTATAACGTTAAGCTTTATTTTTGTTTATGCAGTTTTTGGTTTTGTAAAAAGTAGTCTTACTTGTGTATGGGGTATTGACAGATATTGGTAATGGTTTATCATGCTTTTTAAGAATTTTAAATGTTAAAACGCTTCCCGATGGATGTCTGATTGGCTTTTCCGGATGGATAAATACGTAGACACGTCCTGTCCTGCTGGGGACGTTGAATAAAAAAGAAATTCGTGAGACTGAAAATACCAGAGCCCATTGTTTATGACTGTCTTTTTTTTAATCCTAGAATCTAAGTAAATTGGAACTGAAATGACTGGCGCACAAATTGGATTTTACTGTTTCAACTTTTTTTTCATTTACAATGTGCCAGTATGACAGTTTATAACCATTTTTTGAAATGATAATTTTTCGAAAAAAATGTCCTCGAAATTGACATGTATGTGGACACTGATTTGTTTAAATTAAATATACATTGTTATATTCAAAAAGAGAAAGAAGTCCAATAAAACAGACAACACCATGGCAAAACATAAAAACGACAAAATGACAAACAAAAATATCTAAAAATTACACAAACTAGACAAAAATGATTCCCCTGTTGCGTACATGAAGATAGTGCCACAAACATTAAATTTAGTTATAGAGTGATGTTGCAGTACAATTTAAAATGGTTGCGTTATTTATATTTATGTATTGTTCAATAAGCGTATTGTTTGTGTAATAGGAGACAGATTTGTAAAAGCAAATTTGCTTGTTTCGGAATCCTTAATATTTATTCCAATTGTATTATATCGTTATGTGATAATTTATCTGAAAGAATATTGTTTAAACTAAAATGGTTGAGTCTGAAAGATACATTTGATGCCCCGCCAAAAAATAATTAAATAGTTTTGTATTTAAAGAAAATCCTGATATTATGCACACTCTTTATGCATATACTAACATCCTCGTTAATATAAAAGTTCAAGCTTGAACACTGTAGGAGGAGTTAGTTGGACAAGCCATGGCCCGCATACATATAATATTACCAAAAATGACAAGTTGAACATTCTATCATTTTTATAAAATTGAAAGAAAATAAAAATTTAGACAATATGCACACCTTTGGTATAAGTACTAACACCCTACATAATATGGAAGTTCTCCCTTGATAACTGTAGGAGGGATTGGCCGGATATGTTGTTCTATTTTTGACATTTTTTTTTATGTGAGCGCAACGTTGAAATATTTTGGCTTTTCATAATTTTAGTCTTAAACGTACCTAATTAAGATTATCACAGAAACATGTTTTTGGTAACTGCGAGGTGTTTTGTCTTTTTGTTAGTTGTGTTTATGCTAATTAATGATCTGAGACAAGTCCTTTCCTGGCTGGAATTTAATGCAACTGTCATACAAGTGAGACGTTTAGCGCTATAAAACCAGGTTCAATCCACCATTTTCTACATAAGAAAATGCCTGTACCAAGTCAGGAATATGACAGTTGTTGTCCATTCGTTTGATGTGTTTATGCTTTTGATTTTGCCATTTGATTAGGGACTTTCCGTTTTGAATTTTCCTCGGAGTTCAGTATTTTTGTGATTTAACTTTTTCTTCTGATCTTTACAGTTTGTACTTATGATGTCTTGTTACACAACTGCTCAAGCTTTATGTCAGGAGGAAATGAACGCTCACAATAATGTTGAACTCTGCTGCATTCTTTATGCGTCTATCCAAAGCCAGGAAATTTTACCTTAAGGTTGTCATTGGTCGCTTTCTACCATATTTTGTTTCTTTTGTTGTTGTAGTATATATATGTATATAAAATCGATGGTTTTTTCTCTTTTGAACTATTTCACATTTTGTCATTCCGGAGCTTTTATATCTTACTATACGTTGTGAGTTTTGTCCATTTTTGAAGGCCGTACTTTGAATTGTAATTCGTCTCATCTGTCCTTTAGTCTTTGTGAATAATTGTCGCATTATCTCCTTTTTCATGTTTTACACATTGTTTTCATTTGAAATCATTTGAAGCTTTTTGTAATAATTATATGTATTAAGATTCATTCAAGTGATGATAAGCTTTAAGAAAATCACGTATTGATAATGTTCAAAATATATTTTTTTTGACAGAAATGTCTAAAATAATGCAGAAAAATGCATATGCGTTGCAAATTTTGCACATGCATGCAAGACGATGTGTGGTATACTTCAATGGCGAAACCATCCTACAATACTAAACAAAAGTTGTTATGTCTCTTTTGAAAACAATTTTGTCTTTCAGTCTTATAAAGTTAATATGTCTAACAGATTTGACTGCACCGCAAATGAATCCAGCCCATCATCTATCTAACTGGCTTTTGGACTCTATTCATGATTACAGTGGCCAATCTGAAAGTGTGAGATGTTTTTTTTTTTAGTTTTAGCGATTAAAGAAATTGAGCTAGAATCTGATGACAAAAATTATTGCAATGGCTTTATATCGGATTCTATTTATGTATAAGTTGTAGCAATTAAGTAATAATGATATTAATAAAATTTAATTTAGTGGTCTTCTTACTCATAAATGTGCGGGTTTTTTCATATTCGTGTCGTCTTTCCTTTTTCAGTTTTTCACCATAACCCACAATTCGAAACATTGTGGACTATCAAGACTGATGTATTTTGTGCTTTTGCCACCCAAGGGTAACTGGTGAATAGACATTTGGTTAATATAGGTCTTCTTCCGACTGACAGTAAAACCCTTGACAAAGTGGAGCGTGTTTGGGATGTACAAGTACACAGCCACGTAGTGTCAGAATGGGGAGGTTAATTCCGATGCCACGCTTTCTGCACGTTAAAACCTATTTGCAACAACTCATTGAGGGGTTCTTATGTGTCATGTCGCTAGGGAAAATGTTTGTCCCTATCAAATTATACCCTCTTTTTCCAGTGGCATTCAAAATTTCACCGCGACCTTATCCCGGACGGCCTCTATTACAGGGACATACCTATTGTATGTATTGTTAATTTGTTCACGTCCTGAACATGCATAATATATTTGCCACTGGGCGTTAAGCAACCACAAATCAATCAATCAACATGATTGTTAACATGTCCCAGAAATCACGTCGGTATTGCTGCCGTGTTGAAGTTTACATCCTTACATCCCTATGTAAACTTTCAGGAATCTGTGCGATTTAATTTTTACCTAAAAATTTAAAGGATTTATCATTATTGTTAAATGTTGCAGTGATTTTTAAGGCATTGTTGGCCTCGTGTTTTGGTGTTTGTGTATAACAAAAATTATTGCATTTTATTTCTTGCTGCAATTGGTTCAATGTTGTTGGTTTCCTTACTATCCAAACCGATTGCCTGAGGTAAAGATGCAGCTATCTACAAATAATTGGACAGTATAACAATATACAGTATGTGTAAACACGCTTAATTAAATTTAAAATATGTTCAGTTCCAACATTTCTGCAGTACTGAATAAAATTTGAAATAGATATGATACGATGTTCATCTATTTCATTTGATCATTTTCTTGGGAAGGATGAAAAGAAGCTAACAGTGTCCTTTAACTTCACGTTCCGCTAGATCTATATAGATGATGTCCTCTTAACTAAATAATTGAAAGTTTGGTGACTATGTTGAACGCATATATCCCATCGAACTTAAAGGATACAACAGATACAGTTAAGTCTAACTCGTATCTTTGTATCCGAATGTCTTATTTTTTCATTATTATTGAAGTATCCTGTCAGCAGCTTGATTTCTCTTTTTTACCTAAATTACACTAATTGTCCCACATATATTTGTGTAACTGTTTACACAAACATATCACAAAACACGATTGAAGTTATTGAAAGAACTTTGAGAAAGTTGAATAACATTCTTTCAGTTCGGGCATCATTGGAGAAACGTCTTTTTCACAGGAGTATTATAAAAATTCCCGAGGTATTACGAAGCGGGGATTTCTACCGCTTCGCGACATATTCTAACTCGAATAATGGACATTGATAACTGACACATTTTCATCACTAAACAAACATTCTTCTTTCATTAACATTCTCACGATCGCTAATATTTTTTCCATTGAAAATAAATGAAATGCGACCAGCATATCACGATTCGAAGAGAATATTTTACAATTTTCTACGGTGGCAACGCCGAAAAAAACTTTGTATCTTTTGTCAGGACACCATTTCTATGTCGCATTGTGACTTCTTAGCAGAACAGCATAAAACGGAAATACATAATATTCCAAGGAACATAATCATGCTTGGATACCGACATATAATCAATACTTACAGAGCAAAAAAGGAAAATTCTTTCCCGATTTTGCAGATCGAAAACGTCATTTTAATTACATCTAAATCACTTGATCAAAAAACGTCCTGTGTCAGAGGGTTCTTGGCTGTTATGAGTTTGAATATCCCTTTGGTATCTTTCGCCTCTCTAGTTATTTACTTTATATAATTTTGGAATAGTTAATAAATTTAACAGGTCGATTGAATTTGAATGAACAAATTTAAAAATTCAGATTTAATATTGAATTGGTTACAATATTATTCGTGCAAATACTTTTATTTACTAGCTTAGGTAAACAAAAAAGAACAATACATCCAATTACTTTGTTAATTTTCAATCGTCAATATACAATATTATGAGTTAACCTCTCTAGGAGCATATAACTGAATTTAATATACATAAACAACTTATTTCATATTTTTCAATAGGAACCTAGATGAAATATTATATTATCAAGCTTATTAAATGATAATTTAGTCGCATGTCTTATCTGGACACATAATACGTACCATAATCAGTCGGTGAGGCTCGGACTATCAAGAGGATTTCAAGACGACTTTAAAAGTAGGTCACACTACATTTAATATTCGTTGTTATTATTACTTCTTTTAAGGGAAGAAACGCACTTTTTTACATGATATCATATCATTCAAATGGGATGGTTCATTAAACATGTATAAGGATTCATATCGTTGAAAATCGGATAGATAAATTTTTTAAGATAATATAACCTCAATTTTAACTTTCATTTAGGTATGAAAGTCTACACGTTTTTTATGCCCCACCTACGATAGTAGAGGGGCATAATGTTTTTTGGTCTGTGCGTCCGTTCGTTTGTCCGTCTGTCGCGCTTCAGGTTAAAGTTTTTGGTCAAGGTAGTTTTTGATGAAGTTGAAGTCCAATCAACTTGAAACTTAGTACAAATGTTCCCTATGATATGATCTTTCTAATTTTAATGCCAAAATTAGAGTTTTGGCCCCAATTTCACGGTCCAGTGAACATAGAAAATGATAATGCAAGTAGGGCATCCGCGTACTATGGACACATTCTTGTTTTTATTATTTTTGATGCATTTTCAAATGCAGTTGATATGGGATTCAAGCGCTGTATATGCGGAATGGAAAGTCAAAATTTTCATTCAAATAATAAAATGCCATTTGGTATAAATGTTCTTTCAACAAAAAACCCAGCAACTCAATAATCTGGAAGTCTTAGATACCTGTTGAACTCGACAGGTACTCAACAATAAAGATTAAGTGTATATATCAAGATAATAACTTGTCATCAATGTTAATTTCTTTAAAGATAACTTTTCGCTTAGTATTTTATTTGATTGTATTGATTCGAGTCTTTTGTAGACGAAAGGCGTGTCTTGGGTATAATTTATGAGCCTGGTATCTTTGATGAGTTATTTCCATCTTTGAATTTGGGAAAATCAAATGATGTTATATTTATTTAGTGCGTCGATTTGTTAACACTGATGAAATATTAAATATCTAAATTAATTATCACTACAAGGAAAAATAAAATGCTCCGCTGGGGCGCAGCTTGATACGACCGCAGAGGTCGAACCCTGAACAGTTGGGGCAAGTATGGACACAGCATTCAAGCTTGATACATCACTTTAATTTGGATTGTAATTAAATATTTGACACAACATAGGTTTCTGACACAGAATGAAAGTGGTCTAAGAACTTAAAAAATTTTAATTTACCTATTCAAACCATATCATTATTATTTGCTTTTATATATAAATCAGAAAATACCAATTTAAAATGGAAAATTTGAAAGAAAAAAAAGAAAAAAAAATTTCCCCCAAATTTTTTGAACCCCCTTATGATTCATCACCCCCAAACTCAATCCCAGCCTTCCCTTTGTGGTATGGTACCTTGCAGTACAATTGCAGAGAGATCCATACACTTGAACACAAGTTATTGTCTGGAAACTAGAAAAATGCTTGTTTTTTTGGCCCCAAATTCCTAAACGTTTAGGGCAATTACCCCCAAACTCAAACCCAGCTTTCCCTTTGTGATATGGAACCTTGCAGTACAATTTCAGAGAGATCCATACACTTGAACACAAATTATTGTCTGGAAACTAGAAAAATGCTTATTTTTGGCCCCTTTTTGGCCCCTTCTTTCTAAGCTTTTTGGTCGATTACCCCCAAACTCAATTCCAGCTTTCCCTTTGTGATATGGAACCTTGTAGTACAATTTCATAAAGATCCATACACTTACACACAAGTTATTGTCATGAAACTAGAAAAATGCTTGTTTTCTGGCCCCTTTTTGGCCCCAAATTTCTAAACGTTTAGGACAATTACGGTATCCCCAAACTCAAACCCAGCTATCCCTTTGTGATATGGAACCTTGCAGTACAATTTCATAAAGATCCATACACTTACACACAAGTTATTGTCCTGAAACTAGAAAAATGCTTGTTTTTTTGCCCTTTTATGGCCCCTAATTCCTAAAATTTTGAGGGAATTACCCCCAAAATCAATCCCAGACTTTCCTTTGTGGTATGGTACCTTGCAGTACAATTTCAGAGAGATCCATACACTTGAACACAAGTTATTGTCTGGAAACTAGAAAAATGCTTGTTTTTTGCCCCTTTTTGCCCCCTTCTTCCTAAGCTTTTTGGTCAATTACCCCCAAACTCAATTCCAGTTTTCCCTTTGTGATATGGAACCTTGTAGTACAATTTCATAAAGATCCATACACTTACACACAAGTTATTGTCATGAAACTAGAAAAATGCTTGTTTTTTGCCCCTTTTTGGCCCCTAATTCCTAAAATTTGGAGGCAATTACCCCCAAAATCAATCCCAGCATTCCATTTGTAATATGGAACCTTGTGATACAATGTCAGAGGGATCCATACACTTACACACAAGTTATTGTCATGAAACTAGAAAAATGCTTGTTTTTTGCCCCTTTTTGGCCACTAATTCCTAAAATTTGGAGACAATTACCCCCAAAATCAATCCCAGCATTCCCTTTGTGATATGGAACCTTATGGTACAATGTCAGAGAGATCCATACACTTACACACAAGTTATGTCTGGAAGTTACAAAAACGCTTATTTTTGGCCCCTTTTTGGCCCCTAATTCCTTAACTGTTGGTACCATAACCCCTGAAATCAATCCCCACCTTCCTTTTGTGGTATTGAACCTTATGTAAAATTTCATTGAGATCCATTCACTTAAACTAAAGTTAGAGTGCGAAAACTAATGTGTCTTCGGACGACGACGACGACGCCCCATCGGCTAAATATAAAAATGAAATATTTAACAAGAACAGACATGCACACGAGATAACATATAAATACTATAAAAGGACACATAAAATAAAAGATTTTCCCGTTCCCTATATATATATCTTATTGCCGCTACAAGAACTTTATCGGTCATTGTCAAGTTTTTTTAATTGTTTGTCCACGGGGATTCTTTTCTTCAAAATTCATTCTTTTATTGCCCATTTTGGTTATTATTAGTATATGATTAGCACACACTGGAAAGTACGATTTTGACTACAAAAAAAAACGCTGACAAAATGACCAAAGTATAAAAATAAGAAGATGTGGTATAATTGCCAATGGGACAACTCTCCACCAGAGACCAAGTGACATATAAGTTAACAACTGTAGATCACCGTACGGCCTTCAACAATGAGCAAACCCCATACCGCATAGTCATCTATAAGAGGCCCCGAAATAACAAATGTAAAACAATTTAAACGAGAAAACTCACGGCCTCATTTATGTACAAAATAACGAACGAAAAACAAATATAATATACAGCAACAAACGACAACCACTGATTTACAGACTCCTGGCTTATTTAAATCAAATTAAATTAAAGTACTTAGTTAAATGTACTTAAGTAACTTACTTAAACGCCCTTGCAATTTTACCTAATTGCATAATTTTCATGTTTTCTTAGACTAAAATATCAGTTAGTATATACCTCCAATGGATTAAGTATAAAAACTCCATAGCAATGTTTGCGGAACATATGACCTTGTGCAATGCCAATATCATGCCTCTTTATTGCAGAACAATTTTTAGTAGTTTTTTTTTAATTGATTAAATTAAGGCAACAGAAATGTTGAACCAATGTTCAAAAGTCATTTATAAGGTTCCAGTGTAATTTTGAGTTTACTGCGTTTAACGTTTTCTAATTGATGTAGCTAAGATTTTATTGCGATATGTGTGTTACCTTGCCTTATGTTGTCTCGAGTTTGTTAAATAAAAAAGATCTTTGAAAAGTTTGGGTTTTTTTTTGAATACTTTTCATATAGTTTACCATTATTAAATAGATTTGTTCTCATCTTTTTGAGTTCTAGGACTTCTTTTGTACTTTTTATGATTCTTACTATATACATGTATCCTTTTTTCTTTTAAGGCCGGGGTGCAGCTGAGGAATACTATTACTTAACTCTTTGCGTGTGTCTTCAGTGAAGATTTGTGAGTCTTGTTTTGTCTAACTACATTTGTATGGAACTCTTATAGACGATTTTGGATGTCAACAGATCCCAGTACCATTAGACAGTGAGTACCTTATTAATCAACCCATATAAGATCAGGTTATATTGGATGTTTAATGTTGTCTTACACTTTCTTACTCGTCTGTAGCTAGTTATTATCCATCTATTTTACAACTATTATCTGAAAAGGAAAGTAAAACATCTGAAAATTTAAAATACAGTATTGGTTCAGTATAATTTCTGCAGAACAAGCATATGAACGGTGTAAGACATGTATAGTTACCAAACATATCACCCAGCACTTAGCCATTCAGAATTCTTATTTGAATACTTATACATTTGTACATAAGTCTAATAAGTCCTTTCCCATGGAATCTGACATATATCATTAGTTCTGGGCGTATAATATAATCAGTGCTTATTGGAATAGTTATGAATGTAGTCGGCTGTATTTGAGATACTCTAGCATTTATATCTCAACAGTCAAAATAAAAACGTTTTTCATCTCTTTCACTGCAATCTAGAATGTAATGGTAATCATTCGTTTGGTACAAGCCAACAACTAACAATAATACAGAAATTTGATGAAATCAAAATAATACTTTAGAAGTTAAACTCATTGATGATTAGGGTAAGTATTATTCAAGATTTTAACAATTTGACTTTTACATGTTTAAATAAAACTGTTGATTTATCGTATTTATGGCAGAACTTGTATGTGTTTCCACTGAAGGAAGATCCTATATATTTCAATATGAATACAAGAGGATCATGCGTTTTAACAATATATTTTAAATTAACGAACCCTTACATTCCATAAAAACATTTTAATGAAAAGATGGGTTTTTTTGACATAATAAATTACCAGTAAATTTTCACAGAATATTAAAGACTGATGGATGAATGTTCAAAAATGATTTTCAACATTTACATAATATGCGAATTAGGCCAATTTAAAAACATAAAATGAATCATTAAAATGTAAAAGTAATAAAGTAATTTACGCGTCTTGTTCTGTGAATGTACAAAATTGATATGTAAGATAGCCTTTCGTCTCTCATAGTAGCTCTTAAATAGCTTTTGATATAACGCATTGTACTGAATGAGCGCTCACTAGACGCCAAAGAGACAGGCATTGTAAGCAGAACTGTTAAAATAGAAGTAATAAATGTTCGGATATAAATCCTTATTCGTTGCATTTGGTCTCTAATATATAGTTTCTATGGTCTCTAGCCGTCTACCATGTTCCATCTTATTTTCCATCATGCAACATCATCAAAAACGGCTTGTCTTTACCAAAAATCTGCACGGAAAGTTGGTTTCGAAGATTGAGTTGTTAGTCTGAGTTAAGGTTTGGAGCTTTCAAGGAATAAGATACTCATCACCGAATCTACTGTTCGAAAGGAACATAAATTGAATGATTCATTCGGTGTATCTGACGTCAAGCACGCCTGTGAATGCTTTGAGGTATCCAGGCTTTATCGCCAACTTTTACTGCTTTTTTCAAAAAGGGCTGTCCATGCATTTATTGCACTATCTTACATTCGAACTACTATTTGAGCTTTCTGCACAGCTTCTTACAAGTAAATATCAAGTTTTTTAAAAATGATTTGTGAACTTAACTGTAACACTCATGAGATGTTCAGCTACCGCCAATGCTATCATAAAATTGAATTTCAAAATTGCGTCTCTATATTGAGCTGCTTTATCGTCTCTGTCATACTTCAAAATCTCAAATCATGATCTGATTCATACAACAGAAAGTCCATTAAGAAAAGTAAACATAAAATCTAGATCTGCTCGACTAGACCATCCGGTTCACAAAGTGTGCGTTGTTTTGTGCGCCTATCCAGTTGTTCTTTAACGTTTTGATTATCTGATGATTCCTCAGAAAAGCTAGAGGTCGTTTTGCTGAATAATCAGAGGAGAATGCGATGTCTTTAATACTTAATAATCTGACCACTGGTAACAAATGCCACACTGACGCTTCTTGGTGTTATAAATAAGATTATGCGTTTACATTGTAACCATTTAGATACTGCTGAAGATACCATACAGTCAGCATTCTCCTTCGTCAAAATTATCTCCCCATTACGCCACCAATATTTCGTGGAAGGGTACACTAAAAATTTTCAGAGGTTGAAGACGAATTACCCTATGTAATACACACAATCCATTTATTGGAGGTTATGCATTTTTAAGATCCACTTGTATAGTCTGTCGTCAAGGGTTTTCAGTAAAAATTTGTTATTCATTTATTAGTACTGTGAGTTCTTAATGTTATTATATCAATCTGCAGCCTAAATATATAAAAAATAATAGAATCTGAAGCGAGATGATGTACCAAATATTTTTGCTTTATACGTTTTTAAGACAAAATAGTCAACTCAAACACGCCAGAACATGAAACGGTGTGCTCGACTTTCCCTTTTCGATGAATTATAATTGTCCATTTTTAGGATTTTTTCCCAAAAAAATTGTCGCCGGGGTAGCGATACAAATCAATGCTTTAAAAAGATCAATCGTTTGTCTTTCTGTGGAATTTTCATCAGTGGAATTTATGCTTATGCACAAAAAAGATCTACGTATATTTACACCTACCACAATCGACTGTTTTTTTGAAAAATTGTCTCTATCCACTTCGGATTTTTATACATGGGAAACTCTTTTAGCGTATTGGAAAGTTGACATTTGGGACCTAAGTCTGAGTATTTTATCCTGGAAATCTATCAAGTTTCGCCTTGATACAGGTCAAAGAAGACGTAACCTCAGCAATTTGTCCATTCTTTACTTCAATTCTTTTACGTGTGAAGTCAAAGACATGTTCATTATAATCATAATTAAGATTCTATTAATGTCATTTGATTTCTAGTGTCTTCCAAAGTTTCTCGTTCATTTTTAATAACACCCTTAAAGAGTTTCTGGATCCCGAAGAAGGAAATTGTTCCCTTTTTCTGTATTGTTAGTTGGGATATAATTATAACCCTCTTTCCCAAAGTGCTGTAACATGTTTGGTTGAATTATTTAAACACTAATAGTTGCAATAGTTGTGGAATATTCTGCATAGATTTTTTCTCAGTCTGAAAATTGCTTATTATAGGCTATAAGTTGCTACTCTCAAATTTGAATATACAGATTTTGTAATCCTAGTTGAGGTCTTTAAAGTTTATCAGCTTTGTTTCCATTTTCATCTTTACGGAGGTGTTTATCTTTAGCAAATTACATATTTGCCTAATTGATGTCACTGAATGTATAGCATTAGATTTTTGTCGATCAGTATTTGCATTATTTAATGTGGATCCTGGGATTTTCTAAACGATAGAACAAGAAGTTGTGGAAAGTCTTCTTGTACTAATTTTTCATGATTGTTGTTTTGGAAATGAATCAGTCCATGTTTTATGAAGAAAGTAATGTCTTAGGTCTTAGGTAAGTGTGACTATGGATAACATTAACTAGCTAATTGAGTGACTCTGAAGGTGTTAGACCACGAATTCAAAACCCCTATATAATCAAACCAATTTTTTCAATTTTCACAGCTTTCTAAATATTTTACCTTTAGTTTAACTTCAGAGAAACTAGGTATATTCTGAATTGTACATGTATCACCTTTCTATATGCTAATTTTCAACCAATGTTTAAACCTTGGAGTGAAATACCACCGTTCGGAAGTCAAGTGCTACTAAAAATAACCCCTGGGTTTCTGGAAATCTTAAATAACTATACTCTTATAACCCAAACACATCAGTTGGAACCTTAACTTCAAAATAATAATGGATTTCATTGAGGACTACGCCAGAGAATGTGCTAAACCAGAAGAAATTGAACTGGACACTTTGTCAGAATGGGTCAAAACAATCAGCTATCTGATAAAACGTCGTGAATGATCGACCAAACGTTTTTAGAGACAAAGAAGCCGTGAAATGTCTAACATCTCTACGATAAATATGTTGTTCCTGAAAGATTCAAATAACATTGTTTTTGTATGAAATCGGACTACTACGAGTGTCTTGTAAAAGAATTAGGAATAAATGAGCACTCAGGTAATCCCACATACAAAAACATATCATTTTACAAGGATGAGATGTTGGCTAATCATAAGTACTTTATGGCTTCAATGAACATTACATTGAACAGCAAATCTGAGGACTTACCTTGTTTGTATTGGATACCCAAGCCTCACAAAATTTCGTACAAACAACGGTACATTGCTGGATCATCTGCATGTTCTACAAAGGAATTGTCCATTAGATGACAAAAATGTGTCCGCAGTGAAGATAGTCTTCAGAAATACTGTGAAACTGTTTACTCGCGTAGTGTTATTAACCATATGTGGATTCTAAAAAACTGTAAAGAACTTCTGGATAATTTTAAATCTCGATCTTTCTCTGAAATTAATTCTATCAGTACTTTTGATTTTTCAACCCTAAATACTACCATTCCCCCATTTTAAATTGAAAAATCGTCTAAAAGAAATAATCACAATGCTTTTCAATATAAAATGGTAGCATACGCTATAAATTTGTTGCTTTGGGATCCACTACGGCATATTTTGTAAATAGTGAACAAAAAGGTAAAGCATGCTACACAGAGGAACACGTGATCAGTATGCTGGAGTCTCTTATTGACATGATATTTGTTGAATTTAGAGGTAGACTTTTTCAACAAATTGTCGGCATTCCTATGGGAACGAACTGTGCGCCTCTCCTTGCCGACATCTTATTTTCATACGAGTCGGAGTTTCTTCAGACACTTATCAAAAACAAAAAGATCAGAGAAGCCAGATCATTTAATTTCACATTCAGATATATTGATAATGTTCTTTCCATTAACAATCCAATCTTTTCCGATTGGGTTCCATTAATATATTCTCCAGAACTAGAACTTAAAGAAACAACAGACACGGCTTCCACCGCCTCATTTTTAGACTTATATCTCGAATTTGACATAAGTGGTCATCTCAGTACCAGAATCTATGACAACCGAGACGATTTTAATTTTGAAATTATAAATGTCCTCCACCTTAGTAGCAATATACCAACTTTACCTGCATATGGGATATACATT